ATATGCACTCCTCAAAGCCCTGCCCTTAATGGCTGACCTTTAATCTAAGAGCTGGCTCAGCAACTCAGCTAAGAGGCCCCCATAATTCAACCACTTTCCAAAAGCCCCACCTAGGGACACAACAGACTCTTGGGTGGACACATAGATATAAACCATAACCATGACTCCTGGAGTTGGACCAAGTACATTTTGCATAAAGAAATGTACATGAGTTTTATAGGTATCCCAGATAGAATGCTGTGGTATGAATTAAGATTATCCCAAAAGCCTCATTATCCCATAGACATGGCTTTTTAAAGGTGATTGATTCACAGCGAGATATACACGCCCTTCTGTTAGGAGATGGGGTCTGGACAGAAGAGACAGGTAACTGGGGGTGACCAAGAAATATGTATTTTAATTGCTGGATCCTCCCTTCTCTCCCTCTTCTTGCCCATCCTGATGCAAGCAGTTTTCTCCTGCATGTGCCTCTGCTGTGCTTTTCTGCCTTAGAGTCAGTCAACTGCAAACTGCAAAACGGACTACGTAAACTTCTCTTCCTTTAATTTGTGAGTGCTGGGTTTTGTGTCTCAGTGAAGAGGAAAGTGACTAAAAAGACACTGATTTAATTTGCATTCATCTTGCCCCTACAAGTTCATCCACCACGGGACAATGAGGGTGAGAGTTGAACATAAAAAAACTGATCTTTTTGCTCCCTACTTAAAAATTTTTACCATTGCTCTGAGGTTAAATAATAGAAGTTTTTGGTGAGACATCATTTGCTTCCTGCATCCTATCTAGCACTGTTTTTCCACTCCCAGTGCTACATCCTGAACTTATTCTTCTTCCCAACCTGCAAAAGTGTCTTGTTCCTGCTTGCCTGGTATTTTCACTCATTATGGACCTTCTTCCCAGAATGCTTTTCTTTTTCCTTTGCCTGTTTATTGAATTTCCTTTCTTCCGAGTTACTATAGTTTATAAGGTACACCTTGTATTAACAGTTTTCTAGGGAGGAAACTCTAATTAAATATATATGTATATATATATATATATATCATATTGATCTTTTAAATCTTTAATTTGAAAAGATACGATTCTTATTTAATAAATAGGCTCAGAAAGAATTAAAATGATATCATTTTACAACTTCCATTTTATTGCTTTCCTTCTTACAATTATAATCATACAATTCCTAAATGTTAATTTCACTTATTAGACCATGAACTCTAGTAGTTGTATTTATCATTAAATTTCAAGTTCATAGCACAATACCTATCATAAAGTTGGTATTTGATAAATATTTCTGGAATGAGTGAATGATATATTAAGATGAACTAACACATTTAATTCAGAATTTCTCAATTTCTGTTTATATAATATTCAAGTGTGTTCATCTTACACTGGTTTCTATTGCAGCTGAAATGAATTGCCACGGATATAGGGGCTTTCTATAAAGCCACAAATTTATTGTCTCACAGTTCTAGAGATCAGAGGTCCCAGGTCAGCTTCACTAGCAGAAAATCAAGGTGTCATCTGCACAGTTTATTTTTAGAGATCTAGGGGAGAATCCTTTTCCTGTTTTTTTTTTCCAGCTTCTGGTGGGGTCTTGTACTTTTGGTTTGTACTCCCTACATTGATCTTCAAAGAGCATTACTCCAATCTCTACTGGGGATATCACACTGTCTTCTCTTCTGACACTGATTTCTCCTATCCAAATCACATGGACTGTTGTGAACATATTGGGTCCACTTGCCTATCCCCTCACAATCTTCCTCATCTCAAAATATTATATTTAATATCATTTCCAAAGTCCCATTTCTATGCAAATTGACATCAAAGAGGCCAGGGTTAGGATGCAGACTTATCTGAGGGATCATTACTTAGCACTATTGAAAAGTATAGAAGAGTTAGATCTAAGTTGGGAAGTGAAGAGTGGATCAAACGATGTTACCTAAAAGTCAAGAGAATTATAAGTTAGAACTGACAGGCTGGTTCCCAGCAGTGAGATCCCTAGTAGATCTCTCCGTATCTCCAGGTCTCCAGGGCTAAAGCTAATGATTTACTACATTCTATGATTTTGGGCTCCCAGAAGTTATATGCTGCAGTGTGCTTTTACCCTGGCCTCACTCATTAATTCCCATGCCCCATGTGCCTTCAAAAGCACAAAGAAGTTGAGGAAAAGATTTCAGTATGAAGAAGAAAGGGCTTCTGGTTGCTAACAAAAATTTCCTCCAAATCTCCATTGCACTTGATCTTAATTCCAGGAGAAAGAGCGCAGAGAAATTATGTAATACCAAAAAACTGAACTTTTCCCTTTTTATGGTTTATTCAAATACAAACATACATAGGGTAGTCTTGAAATTTAAAAGATGAAAACCGGAACAGCCCATCAAAGTACACTACAACTGCTTATTACCCACCCACTCTTTGAAAATAGGAAGGAAATCAAAGAGGTAAAATTATTGTTCATGAATCTGACACATATCATTACATTCTAGATAACTTAGTCAGGCACAAGACTAAACAAAAATACAGTTGGAGACATTACTAAATTGCTTGCTCATTTAGATTAAGAGTTCCAGAGAGGGTATAACAGAAGACTTTGTCATAATGTGTCTGTCAGCCTAGCTCAGTGCTCAGCTAAGAGCAAGTGGCCAATGAGTGTGAGTCGAATTGAATGAAGGTCCTGCAATATTCTTCATGAAGTGTGAATGCTTCTTGTACTTGGATCAGATCAAACAGATATGTTGTCAGATGGGACTAGAGGCACAGAGATGGTGAGGGCTATGGGGTGAGGCCTGTGTGAGTAGCCTTTGCTTTAAACGCAACAAGAAGAGGGCTTTAAGTATGTGCCCTAGGCTTTGTTGATTTTCAATAGCACTATGAAATATAAACTCAATAAAATAGATAAGGTTTTGATTCGATTTTTATTTTATTTTTTGGTACTGGGGATTGAACTTGGGACCTTGCACTTGCGAGGCAGGTGACAGAACCACTGAGCTAAATTCCCAGCCCTTGATTCGATTTTTAAAAAGTGAAATGTAATCCTGAAAGTGAAGGTAAGGCTACTGGAACAGGGATAAAATATACCCCAGAAGCAACTTGTGGCTTGGGAGAAATAACGGGTCAGAGCTCATTTTCAGATAAGAATTGATTTTTACTAAAGCTCGGGCGCCCTCTAGCGGCAAGATACAGGTCCAGTGTCTCTAGCAAAGTGTTTTGAAAGGAAATGTGTTCTGGCGTTGGAAACACGGTTATTTCTGTTTCCCCTTGTAAGTTTTTTGTAGGATTTTTTTTTGTTTGTTTTTTGTTTTTTGTTCGTTTTTTGAGACAGGGTTCCACTATGTAACCTGGAACTCACTATGTAGCCCAGGTTGGTCTCAAACTCACAGCGATCCTCCAGCCTCTGCCTCCCGAGTGCTGGAGTTATAGGCGTGCGCCACCATGCCTGGCTTCCCCTTGTAAATTTTGAGTACTGTGTTTATTATTACTCATTGTTGTTGTTGTTATTTATATCCTCTGTTTCAAAAATTTACATCTTTTTAATCTCTGTGAGCAAGACCAGGAGCTCAGAGCTTAAGTGTGAGGACAATTACTATATGCTTAAAATATTTTTGTTTCAATTTAATCTCAGCCAGTGAAGAAAAAATTTCAAATTCCATAAGTCCATCCTTAAAAGTGTAATTTACACTAGAGCAGTTGAACTAGCATTTAAATTAACCACAATTCAAGAAGTAATCAAATGGCTTCCATTTGTCCCATGTAAGATTCCTTAGAATTTACTGCCATTGATCTGAAAACATCTCATAAAGAGTTCTTCTTTGAATAGAAGAGATAATGGCCCTGTTATCTTTGATTTCATCTGCATCTAGCTAAAGAGTATGGGGCATACGTCCAGGAGCTTGGGTCCCAGACTGGACAGGTGGTATTTAACATATGTGAAGTCTGCAACAAAATACATGCTTTGCTTGGCTCAGAATACACCGAAGACCCTTTGGAAATCCTGGCAGTCAGACACCAAGTAGGTGGTCAATTAGAGAAGAAGGGGGAAGCAGAACTTGCATTTGAGTATTCAGTGAGGATCCGTCCCTGAGAGATCCTGGAAACCGCCCGAAGTTACTAACTCAGAGACCATCCTCTAAATAGCGCAAAGAGGTCACTCTTGTTTTTAACAGGAAAGTGGTCAGGAGATGAAGGATTTTCAGAACCACTCTGAGGCAGAAAGAAAAAACCTTCAAAGTATTAGTATTTGAGAATAATGAAGCAAGAGGGAACCCAAATCAAATCTAACCCTCTCCAAGAAAATAAATGCCACCCTTTCTTTCTGAAACTTTGGAGAGACCAAAGGGAGTGCCTGTGGGCTGTGCCGGCAGCCCCGCCCTCCCTCCTGCGTGGCTGCGGGAGACTCGGGGTTCAGCACCTAGGAAAGCGCCCCCTCTCTGAGCCGGGTTACGCATGCTCCGTGGGGGCGGCCGCCGGGCTCCGTGGGAGCCAGCGAATATCCTGCGGCAGGTTCACTGGGAGTTAACAGCGGGGAGACTGAGCCACTTGCAGAGCTCCGGGATGCGAGAGCCAGGTGGAGGCAACTTCCCAACTGATTTTTCTCTGAAAGGACGGAAACCTCGTGGAGCAGCAGCGGAGGAAAGAAACAAAGGTACTGGAAGAAAGGAAGAGCTGTCCGGAGCCGCGTTCCTGAGCAGGAGGTGGGTTCTGCGGCCCTGCGCCAGTGACAGCGGGAAAAGGGGCGATCTCGGTCGGGCAGTGGGAACCCAGAGTCTTGTCCTTCGGCTGGAGACTGCTGGACACCCGCAGCTCCCCTTAGGCTCTGCCCTCAGCTCTCCATTTCAGCGCCGGTGCAGGCGCCCAGCTCAGCTCCTGCGCCCTAGAGCTCCCAGCGCTGGGGGCGCACGAGCACCCGGTTCCTAGGCGCTATCTTTTGCTGCTTCTTTGAAAGCTCCCGCGCTCGCCGCCGTGCTCGCTGGGCGGGCGCCACCCCCGGGGAGAGCCTGCTTCCCTAGTCGCTGTTCCCCAGGCATGACCTAGAGGTGCCCGGGCATGCAGGGAGCCGCTAGAACCACGACAGCCACCATGCACAAGGCTGCTGAAGGTGAAGAGCTCGCGGACCTCTTCAGACTGATCCCGGACATTCTGGGGGCCGCCAACTCGAGTGGCAACGCTTCGCTGCAGCTTCAGGACTTGTGGTGGGAGCTGGGGCTGGAGCTGCCCGACGGCGCGGCTCCAGGGCATCCCCCGGGCAGCGGCGGGCCCGGGAACTCGGACACAGAGGCCCGGGTGCGCATCCTCATCAGCGCGGTGTACTGGGTGGTTTGTGCGCTGGGGCTGGCGGGCAACCTACTTGTGCTCTACCTGATGAAGAGCAAGCAGGGCTGGCGCAAGTCCTCCATCAACCTCTTTGTCACCAACCTGGCGCTGACCGACTTTCAGTTCGTGCTCACTCTGCCCTTCTGGGCGGTGGAGAACGCGCTGGACTTCAAGTGGCCCTTCGGCAAGGCCATGTGTAAGATCGTATCCATCGTGACGTCCATGAACATGTACGCCAGCGTCTTCTTCCTCACAGCCATGAGTGTGGCGCGCTACCACTCGGTGGCCTCGGCTCTTAGGAGCCACCGGACCCGAGGGCACGGCCATGCTGACTGCTGCTGCCAGAGTTTGGAAGACAGCTGCTGCTTCTCAGCCAAGGCGCCCTGTGTGTTGATCTGGGCTTTGGCCGCGCTGGGCTCCCTGCCCAATGCCATTTTTTCTACCACCATCAAGGTGATGGGCGAGGAGCTGTGCCTGGTGCACTTCCCGAACAAGTTGCTGGGTGGTGACAGACAGTTCTGGCTGGGCCTGTACCACTTGCAGAAGGTGCTGCTGGGCTTCGTACTGCCTCTGGGCGTCATTAGCCTGTGCTACCTTCTGTTGGTTCGCTTCATCTCTGACCGCCGCGTGGTGGGGACTGAAGCAGCAGCCGGAGGCCTGACCGGAGCCAGCGCTCGGAGACGGTCCAAGGTCACTAAATCAGTGACCATCGTGATCTTATCGTTTTTCCTGTGTTGGCTCCCCAACCAGGCCCTCACCACGTGGAGTATCCTCATCAAGTTCAATGTGGTGCCCTTCAGCCAGGAGTACTTCCTGTGCCAGGTGTATGCGTTCCCCGTGAGCGTGTGCCTGGCACACTCCAACAGCTGCCTCAACCCCATCCTCTACTGCCTAGTACGACGTGAATTCCGCAAGGCCCTCAAGAACCTGCTATGGCGGCTCGCATCACCCTCGCTTACCAACATGCGTCCTTTCACCGCTACTACCAAGCCAGAGCCAGAGCCAGAAGATCACGGGCTGCAGGCCCTGGCGCCGCTCCGTGTAGCTGCCGAGACTGACCTGCTCTACTACCCGCCAGGCGTGGTGGTCTACAGTGGGGGTCGCTATGATCTGCTGCCCAGCAGCTCAGCCTACTGATGAGAAGTAAAACTCAGGGTATGCAGTAAAAAAGGGACCCAACCCTGGCCAGGGACAAAGGAGAGTGGATAACTGGAGACTGTGGGGCCCCACTTTAAGAAGTAGAAGGAAAGAAAGAGGAAGGTAGAGGAGGAGACCTGTGAATGGGCTGGAGGGCCTTCTCTGGAGAAGAAAGGTTGCAAGACCAGGCAGAGAAGAAGCTGACAAAGAAGTGGAGATCATTCCCACAGGACCTGGTCACCAGTCCTGACTCCCCACCAAAACCCACCCCTGTGTCCTCTCTTTGTGCTGTTTACCCTGGGCAGGACAGGAGCTCCCAGAGACAGAGAGGCATCAGGAAAGTCAAGAAATTGGGCCTCCAGGAGTGGGTCCCAGCCAAAGGATGTACTGATGACTGAATATTTATTCCACAAATGCTTATGGAGCTCTTATAGGCCTTCAAGCTGCATCCAGACAGAAAAAGCCACCCCAAAAATCTTTTCCTTTTCACTTTGGCCTGCAAGACTGCCTTGAGGAGCAAAGGTCTGAGTTTCTGCCCTGGTAGTGAGTTTGGAGGGAAGAGCTCTTTTCAGAGTTAGGAGAAAGGATTGACCATGTTGGTCTGTCCCAGGAGAAATGAGAAGTGAGAGGAGCAAGGGGAGCTATGGTATTATCTGTGTTTCCAACCGGACAAGCAGGCATAAGCTGAGCTTGACTGCAAGCTTGCCACCTCTGAGCTCAGATGTTACTAGGGGCAAAGCATCTGTCTCAAGTGGAAGAGAGAGATTTATTTGCGAGTGGCCTTAATGCAGTGTGATTAGAGAGGCTGAGTAGAAAAATGTCCTTAGGACACTGCCTCTAATGGGACTCAGGTGCTCACTCACTTGGGAACTAAGCAGGATGTGTAGCAGGAGCACCTTGGAATCTGGGTGCTCTAGTTCCCTTGCGAACAAGCAGTCTGAGTGCCTGGACACGGGGTTCCCTTTGGTTCATATTCTGTAGCTGAGCGGGGCTCAGAAGCATCCTGAAAAGCTCCCTGGGAGCAAGGGTACATCTGCAGTCCCCTGTTTTCATTGTTTGGAAATTGAGATGCTACTCTCATTCAGCCTCTGCACCAGAGAATGGAAGAGTGCTCTGTGAGGTTTGGGGCATGCTTAGAAGAGTAAGAGATGCTGTAGGAATGTGCAGTGGCTTCCTGTACACCAAATTCCTAAATGCTGGAGTCTGTTACTTCAAGGAGAGGTGTGAAATGGGAAAAAGAATTCAAGACTAAAGTGAAGTCACTCCAAAGAAAGGAGGCTATTGGAAAGGCTGTTCTGAGAGAATCACCAGAATTTCAAGTGTGAGGTTCTTTATTGCTCATATTATTTGCAAGGAAGGTAAGAAACAGAATTCCCAAAGGGTAATAATTAACCAAATTCCTTTTATTCTAAAGAATGCTTTGTACATTGCATATGCATGTTAAATTCTTCCCTAACTTCCAGACAGTCCACAGGGCTGTCTCTGAGAAGTGATTCACGTTTTTCTGTGACAGCCCTGTCAGTGTAGCAGTTTAAGATGTTAAGCTCCCCACAAAGTCCTTTGTTGTTCTAAGAACTGAGATGAAATATCAACTTGTCCATCCATCTGCCAGGAACGATACAGGTGCTACTACTGTTTACTTTGGCAATCTGGTTTGGGTGTTAAGAAACTGGTAAAGCAGGCACCTCCAAGTGTGGCAGTTTTAATAAACAAATAATCATTAGAAAATGTGTCTAAACAGTTTCATATACTGTAGAATTGTTTAGTAATTTTGTTGAAATTTTTCACAATGTCTGAGATTTAAGGCTCAAAATATGAGATCTACAACTCTGCCATCCTTTGTCCCATTGTCTGTAACACGACACAGTACAATTACGCAACATTCATAGAACTTTCCACAGAAACAAAAGCTGCCTGATTTCAATCCTGAAAAGTCACCTTTCAGGAAACAGATTAATGCTTCTGTTTCAAAGTTGTCATTTTAGTGTCTTTTCATTTCTAATAGGTAAAACTTATTGATATTAATATTGACTAGCAACTGGACTAATGAAGGTTGACATATAACCCCCCTAAGTCTCCAAAATACAAGAAAAATCAATATGGGAAAAAAATCAATTACATACTATCACAGCAGGATATCTGCACACATCACTAATTCTAGACTCTTATCAGAGCAAATTGACATTTCAATTTTGAGAAGAGGACACTGTGTGGGGTAGCTCAGAATTCTTAGAAATGTGTGTTGAAATGTATTTTTCTGCAACAATAGGAACTAACATGAAAAGAGAAGGGGTTGGAGGTAAAGTCTTTAGGAAGAAGCTCTGTAATAAGGGCAAACTTGTTCAAGTCCAAAGCTGGGCCCTTCTGAAAAAATGGCAGGGGAAATCAAAGACGATAACTTCTACAATGAGGATAAGAGTTTAAAAGGATGTGGTAAAATCAAATAAAATCATTATTACTTTTTGTATGCCTGTTGTATGCCAAGACCTGTGCTAAGTGTGGAGATCAAGGACATGAAACAAAGCTTTCCTGAATTCTATATTTAGAAGGACAGACAATCGGGGACACAAACAGGATAATACAGGGAACAATGAATAGAATGTTGTAGTAAAGCTAAAACAAAGTGTTTTGAGAATACAGGGAAAGGAAAAAGTAGTCCTGCTGGGGGATAAGAGACTTCTTGTCCAACATAATATTTGAAATATAAGTACAATTTAGGCAGAAAGTTATGGGTTGTGAGAAGATAGAATTGTGGTGATCAAATGTTTTGTGGTTGGAGTATGAGGTACTTCATTAAGGAAGCAAAACATTGTAGTTTCCCTTTCTCCTATAAGATTTCCTAGGATTTCTGCTGAAAATATTTCTGTCTCTGTATTTGTTTGGAAACAGAACTTTGTTTTGTCAGACAGAATATATCATCAATGTACTGAGAAAAAATGCTTGGGTTCCCAGAGGTGGTTAGAGTCTTCTTAAATTGGATTTTATCCACTCATTCAAACCTTTAATGTGCAAAGTATTTGCACAGTGTGTTGAGAGAGAGACAGAGACAGAGACAGAGAGACAGAGACAGAGTCCTATTCTAGCTCCCAACCTCAGCCAAGTAGCCTATCCAATATTGGAAACTTTAATGTTTAATGCAATAGCATCACATGTGGAAGAAACCATGTCCTGTGGCTCAGTGATGACAACATTCGAGTTCTTAGGGGTGCAGATAGGATGGCATCTTAGCTGGCCATGAACTGATTTCCAAATCTTCAAATATTAAAACAGTCCTTGTAGAAATGGTCATAAAGTACACTGAACCCTTGGGATAATTCCATTTCTAAACTTTGCAGAGGCCAAGGATAGGTAGGGGAAGAAAGAGTGGTGGCTTGGCACTGTTTGTATTATACTGCAGAGAATTGTGTGACATTGACCCTCCAAGCATATCCTCATGTCATCCCAGCTTCTGCGGTTGAGACCAAGTGTTTTCCCCGATGACTTTTCTATATCAGTTGTGACCTCACTTCTCCAGAATGGATGATGAGTGGGAGCCAAAGACTAGAGGAGCTGGTTGTCACTTTGCATGTGCCCCCAAATTAGTGAGAGTATTTCATCTGGGAGTAAATGTACCAACACAATGCAAGGAGATCTGGTTGAGAAGCAGCACCCATTAGAGAAAAGATGAGCGGTGTTTGGAGGCTGAAAGAACAGCACACTCAGGTATGGAAAACACTGGAGATCTGGAAAGAGGGAGAAAGTGCAGAAGTCTGAGGTGCCTAGCATCGCATGAGAAAACTACATGTCCTGGAGAAGATGAGGGTAGGAGGTAGGCAGGAATAAGCAGTTGCTTCAGGGTAAGCCTCCTGCCCTCCACCTCCTGTCCCCTACCCCACACACACCAAAAGTGGCCAGAGTACAAGGGTATTCCACATGTTTCAGTGCAGACAGAGGTATAATAATAGAGAAGCAGCAGAGACAGGTCCTTTAAACACAACAAACAAAAAAGTAGGCAATTGAGTAGCAGCAAGGTAAAAGCCTAAGCAGTAGTGGGAAGGACAAAGTATGATGTACAGGGATGCAGCTGCCTTTTGAGACTAACAGAAAAATTGAGAAGGGGAAGGATGCTGCAACAGAGAATGACAAATGGTCTGCTCTCTGCAAACGCTTTTAGCCTGGTAGTCTTTCCCTACGCCTGGGCACCCAGGGCCACTGCCCTGCACATCATCATTAGAGGACCCTGTTCTATCCCATTCCTCCAGCCACGACCCTCCCTATACGGCAAGGAATGCCTCCCCACGTTCTGGACTGTGTTCCCATCCAAACAAGGCTGAGTCCATCTACCAGGCTGCTGTGGGGTCTTGCCTGAGTCCATCTTCCAGAGGCAGAGCACATTGCTGAGTCCCTGTAACCGTGGGTGTGAGGAACAGTAGAGTGTCTGTTTGTACAGGTGATAAGAAGTGGAGAGGCGTTGGTGGCTGTGGATACGCTGACGCCAGAGTGCACACAAAGACTCTCACAGTGCTGGATGTAGAAAAGAATGGGAGGAGAAGAGAAGGCGATCAAGAAGTAACATCCTCATGCCCAAATTTCCAGTTCTTAGAGACAACTCATTTCCTTTTCAAAAATCCCTTTACAGCACTGAAGAGTTTAGTCAGTTAGAAACTCACCTGGGGCAGTGAATATACTACCAGACTCCAGGAAAAGGGAGGAAAGGAATCACATGATGTTTTTTAACTTTTATAGGTGGACAAATGTTCATTCCTGTATTAGTTGGGCGCATTGAGAGTCATGTAGTAAACACTTATAAAAGAGTGGGTTGGCCTAGAGATGGGCAACGGGATGATGTGCCTTTAGGAGCCTTCCAAATTAATCATAGCTTGTTATCTCTTATGGAGCACTGAGCAAGTGTCAGCCACCAGCCTAAGTGCTGTCCCTACAGGAAGTAGTAGAGACGGAGGCCCTAGATTCAAAACCCACCTCTACCACTTGGATAGGCTACTTGGCTGAAGTGTAGCTTCAGGTAAGTTATGTAACACCTCTCTGCCTTGGTTTCCCCATCTGCAAATGTAGATCAGTAACAGCACCAACTCTCAGAATTGCTGTGTTGATACAGGTAAAACATTTAGAATAGTGGTAAGCACCCTATGTTATATATCATTAATCACAACTCTCTGATATAGGAATTATTATTCAAAATGTATAGATGAGTGAGTGTATCTTAGGGAGACCAAATAGTTCACCAGTGAGGGACGAAGCCAGGATTCAAAACTAGCTGGGTTGCACAGCTCACGGTGTTCCTGTTAAGCATTCTTGTTTCCAAGGTGCAGTTGGAGGGACATAGCTAGAGGAAGACTGCTTAGCTTGGGGACAAAAGATCATTGAAAGATCTCCATATCAGCTCCAGAGGATGAAACAACAGAACAGACTAGACAGAATAATTTTACTGTGTACTAAAATGAGCATTAAAGGTTCAAGCTGACTTCTCAGAATGTCATGCATTGCTAGAAATTAATTATGAGCAAATCGAATATAAACAAATCAATATAAAACTCATCAGTCATGCTTTGAGTGTGAATTTAGTGAAATATGTGACTGTCCAGCTATGTAAGCACTGGTGACTTTTTTAAAAGTCATGTTATACAATGAATATAAGGATCACAGGTGAAATTAGTCTGCTTCTCAAGGGTCATTAAGACTGGAAATGCTCTGTGCAAAATAGATCCTCCCTTGCCCATGTTTACACTGAGATGCAGTGAGGAAGACAAGATGGCATGTGCTCTGCACCACACTTGCCCTTCATCACCAGTGCACAGAGGTAGAGTCCAGGCAAATGATGCCTGAAACATGGGTCTTCTGTGCAAGGGAGCCAGGCTTAGTAGAGGTGTGGGCAGATGACCTCAGCTGAAATCACAGTGCAGGGCACCCAGTGGGCAGACCCTAAAGGTGCAGAACCAGAGAAAAGATGGATCCCTTGTCATGTGCTTCACTTGCCCGAGGTTAGGATTATTGTCTCTTTATTGACTTAACCCACATATCTAACAAAGAGAGCCACAAAGCAACAGCCAATTAATGCCACCGTAGAGGCTGTGATCACCACCACAACAACACTCCCAGCTGCATTGACCAGAAAGCCCAGACCACCTCCAACCAGAATCTGGGCCAGCTGCACCATGCAGGTGAGTGTGGCGCAGTCCATGCCCTTTCCACGTTCAGTGACGCTGCTGCCCGCACTCCATCCCGGGGCCTGCCGCCTCTGTAAGGCAAACACATGAACACACTTTGAGCTAAAGGAACTGTCACTTGGGGCTGAGACTAGCAAGATTTTTCAATAAAAAGCCAGGTAGTAATTATCTTAGTGGGTCATAAGCCTTTGGTTGTAACTCCCTTTACAGTGCAAAAACAGCTACTCTCCATAAAAAATTGCACTCCAACAGTATAGACATGAGTGATTAACTTCATATTAGCCTTACTTATCACAAAATATTAGCCTTCTCTGGGATATTTTTCAATCATTTAAAAATTTAACATAAATCTTGGTCATGGACTGCAAAAAATAGGCAGCAAGCCCTCTTCAGCCACTAAGCCTGATTTACAGCCACCAGGAATGTCCAACGTACCTGTGCCAAATTCTTAAAAGCCACTATTCATACATAAGAGATTCAAGGACTAATATATGCAAAATTATCTCTTCCTAAGAAGTCAATAAGTACGATGTGTTAGAACCCAATAAAGAAAGAGTAAAACCTATTTTTTTTTCTGCTGAGTGTTAAGGATTCAAACATTTTCAAAAGGATGCTGAGCCACTCAAACACTTAGGAGAAGCAACATAAAAACATTTCAACCCCTACAAAAATGATTGTTTGATTAAAGATCAATATTAACTATTTAATGGCTTATTAATTTTAATATTAATTATTAACAATTATTAAATATCTGGTTTCAATTGACTAACATTGCCATTTTTTGACTGGCTCTTATGCTAGGCTTTGTAACATTCTTTTATAGTCAGAACTTTATTATTATTACTTATTTATAGTCACTATGGCCTTAGATGTACATAGCATTATTATCCCCATGATAACAATAGTACTAGCTATTACTGTTTTAGTCTTCATCAGGAAGATAGTGAGTACTCATAATGCTAAGCACATTCCCTACACTATCTTGCTTAATTTTTCAACAACTTTATATAGTGTGTTGTTGTTTCTATTTGACTAATGAAATTGAGTCCCCAGGAGTTTAAATGGTGATTTCCTATATTACTAAATAAAATAAGCTTTGTGCAGAATAAAGCATGTTATCCTATTAATAGGCAAGAAGAATAAGAAAATAATTCATTTTTGATTTTCACTTTAAAATACCAGAAATATAGAAAACTAACAAGTGTAGTAAGAAAGGCATCATGGCTAGGAGGAGTAGCAAAATCACGAAAGGAGCCATCTTGCCATGCACACTTCTGTTTGTGATTATAATTGTTGAGCGATGTGACTATATTACCTCATCTAAAATGAACTCACTTAAAAGTGCTGTTTCAGAAATAAGTTAATAACATGTCTAGGGTAACACAGCTTCAAAATACAGGAAGCAGAACTTGAATCCAGATTTCTCTGAGTCTAAAGCTTATGTGCCACAGGTCTTCTCTTTGGAGGGACAGTTCTTTACAATGACAGTCTCTTTAATAGCAAAACCTCCATTCTGTACTGAAATATTGGTGACCATGTTTGCCAAAAGATGAGGACAGCAAGCTGCAACCCTTGTTTAAAAAGTTCTGATTCTTACTATGTCTCTGCTCTGCTGTGTTTGCCAAGTTAAATAGTGCAAAAGAGGGTCAGAATTACAGCCACATGGACATCTGTTCACTGTGTTTGCAGTTTTGTGCCGAAATGGATAAAAGTCAAAGGTACTGAATTGGCTTTTACATCACTGCTCTAGTCAAAAAGCAATATGCATATTTGCAAAGAGAACAAGTTGCACATTTCTATAAAAACAGGTAATAATTTTAGATCTATTTAACCTGGTACTCTTCCAGGAATCCCCTATGCTCTTCCTCTGTGGTCTGAGTTCCAAGCTATAGATGAGGTAAGATGGGGCAGATAGGGTAGGCAGCCCTCAAGGTACCATTGTAGGGGTGACCACCCATGGCTCCTTCCTGTACACTTATTAAAGCCTGGGCTCCCAAATACCTAGGCATTTCCTCCCCACTCGCATGACTCCCAGAATTCTGCCCTGCACCTCTGTAGTCCTTGAGTGGGGAGACTCATATTTCAGGCATCCAGACAGGCTATAAGCACCCTGGGAAAACTGCACGGTGGTGGTAGAAGACCTAGGTCCCCCTTCCTTTGTGGGACTGTGGGCTATTTTCTCAGCATTGTGGAATCCCCTTTTCCTAATCAAACAAGTAAGAGTACTATTTATCATTCCCTAGCTCACCAGTTGCACCAGGGGCTGGAGTGAAGAGAAGAAGCAGGCTCAACTGAGTTAGGACTGTGTGGGCACTTCAGTACTGCTGTTTTAGGAACTGTTGTTTTCCAGCTCTGCCCTACAATTTCCTATCAAGTCCACCCTGCCACCCCCACCACTAACAGCTTTTAGGAGAGTCCAGATGTTACCCAGCGCAAGTGTTCGATGAGCACATACCTCCTTCTCCTCCTCACGGTGGTACTCAGCCATGAGGTTAAAGGGGATGGTGTACAGGGTACTGGACATTACACCAAACAAGGTGCACAGGACCAGGGTGGAGTAGACATTTGGGAAAAGACCTATAAATCCCGTCCCTAAACCAAACAGCAAGTATCCCATGAAGTAAAGCCGCTTTAAGCCAATGCAGGGCACCAAAGCCTTCTGAAAGTCTGTGGAGAGAAGAAAGGGGAAAATTACAGCTGGCGTGCCTCACGACATTTAATAATTTCAGGCAATCCTTTCTTTTGAAGATTCACTTTTTTAGGAGGCGTTTTTGAGTCTAAGTTAGGAAAAAAAGAACCTCTGTGAGTTGAAAACAGCTGGCTTTTGCTATCAGTTTTAAATCTTCTGCATAGAAGACAGCTTGAAACTGCCCTGCTAAGCTGGTTTTCTTTTCCATAGAGGAGAATAAAGCTCAGTTTAGCAATGAGCTGAATAGCAAAAGGATGCAAATAAGGCTGTGAACAAGCTTAAACTGGAAGAAAATTAGGGGTTATTCTGATTAGAGAGCTCTGGCTCAGAGTTGGGGACTTAGTTCAGTGGCTGAGTGTATGTGAACTTTCGGTTTTATTTCCATCATTGTTAAAAAAATCAATATTAATAAAAATTTTAATGAACCACAAGAGGTCTGGTTCAATAACACCAAAATGATAATGTATCGTTATCCTGAACCTACTGTCCAATGTCAGCTGGGGAAAATTACATCAGTGAGCTCTTTCAGAATGATCCAAGTCACAGTTTCTTAGTCCTCATCTGAATGCAGTCTAAACACATATGGAAGAAGTAAAAGATGTACGAATCTCTGAGGACACTTTCTCTGACTTGACTTTCTCACTCACCCTTCCTAGGCTGATAAAGGACCCACAAGGCCCATGGCTGGCTCCTTCATATAGACAAGTTTCTTAATTTTGCATCACCTCAGCTTTCTTGTCTGAAAACTGGGAATAATAAAACTTCTTTTGGCTTTATGGTTAGAATCAAATGAGAAAATGTCTGAAAAATAACTCAGCCAAATGCTGAGGACATAAAAGATGCCTAATTAACATGGTTACTATTAGTTCTGCAAACACTGCTTGGTCCAAAAGATAGCTATTAACTCAGTTTCTCTCCAAGTAGGTAAATTTAATTTCCTTATACAACTGTAGGGATGGAGTGAATTTTATTTTAAAAAATTAATTCTGCTTCAAGACACTTGACAATGTTTTTTATAAAGGTAAGGAAAACTCCCCCCAAATCATTAATCTTCCTTTTAAAATCAGTTTTAAATCTGTACATTCTTTCTCTCTCTCTCTCTCTCTCTCTCTCTCTCTCTCTCTCTCTCTCTCTCTGTATCAGGAATTGAATTCAGGATCTTGCTCAGGCAGACGAGGTGCCACTGAGCTAAATCCCCAGCTCAGCCCTACTGGAACATGCAAAGTAGAGAATAAATTATAGATATTGAAATGTACGTGTTCAAGAATGAGACTTTCCATATCTATCTAAATAATTATCTAAATAATTATCTAAATAATTATCAGGCTTCTACATTAAAGGTAAGAACCCTTATTTATATTGTATTTGAATCAACTATGAGACAAAACTAAATAATTATCAGGCTTCTACATTAAAGGCAAGAACCCTTATTTATATTGTATTTGAATCAACTATGAGACAAAACACTGTCTGGAGTCATTGGGTGCAAGAAAAACTCTGGCAATGACAAGGAAGCAGCATTGGATCCTCTGTTAAATCTTTCCTATCTGGAGGGCTGTTGCTAAGGTTGAAAGTAGACACAATATAAGCTAGGTCAGTTTCATAATAATTCTGGATAAGCCTGTTTGCTTAATGATTACGTTTATGCATACATTTAATCTAAGGTGTCTAATTACCTAAAAGATACCATCGATATTGAGCTCCCATCCAAGCATAAAGGGATATTTGGAAACATAAGAAACTTCAGTATAAACACGGAGAGTCTGACCAAGAAATGGTCTGTTCATGGAGAGAAGTCAATAAATTTCAAGGCCAAATGTGGAATGTACTCTGATATGACTGATGTCCAGGGTAGTCATCTCCTTCCATAGTCTTCTCCTTAGAGTTGAAGGAAATTGTTGATTTAATCATTGCCCATAAATAGTAGTGTCCATTAAGAACAATTAAGATTGCTACTCCGATTGGTGTAAATGTGGCTTGCTATGCAAAAGGAGCTTGAAAAATGTTCCTTGTCATCACATCACACCCCAACCCCAAAGCTGCTCTATTGAGCTGCCTTACATACAGATACTGGATCTGTATCTGATGAATCCAAGATAAAGAGCAATACACTGTGCTCTGGAAATGACAAAAAATGACTGATTCTGGCCAGGGTGGATTAGAGTACAGGGAAAATCTTGATTTCATAGAGGAAGTAATATTTAAAGCTAGTCAAAAGGCATAGTTAGGAATTATGTTGGTGGAGAAATAGAAGAAGTCAGGTAGAAAAAACGAAAAGCACTGGCAAATCCAGAGAGATGAGAAAGTCTATGCAGGAGGTCATTAGGGTGGTTAACTTGTATCAAGCAGTAGAGTTCAAAGAGTGAACTAAGCCAATTTGAAAATATTTAAATGCCAAGTTCAGAACATAGACTTTGTCCTGCAGACATGGGGATCTGACTGGGCTGGCTGTTATTTTATAAATAAAATTTTGGCTCGAATTTACAGTGGTAGGGATCTCATAGATATATACATCAGTAAAGTTTAGAAGACTGTTCAAGTAGTACTTTACTTAATACACAGGACTTTTAATGAGAAAGGATCTAAATATATACTTTTAAGCATTCAAATGTCATAAAATTCATGTAGGAATTCAAGCTAGACTAATCAAATGGTACCTAACAGGGGTTCTTTGAAAACAAAAAGTTAAAATTGATGCAAAGTTAAAATAATGTGTGAAGGGCTGGGGATTTAGCTCAGTGTCGGTGGCCTGCCTTACAAGCCCAAGGACCTGAGTTCAATCCCCAGTACCAAAAAAAAAAAAAAAAAAAAAAAGTGTGAAAAAGTGCGTTACCCTTTTAAAAATGAAGGTAGTGGTAAATAGTCTCCTTGCCCATGAGATCACAAAGGAATTCAGGTGAATAATTTATTAAACTCTTTTGGTCTGTCACTTTCTGATTTTATTTTAAGGAATTGAAAGGCCCTCCTGGAATTTTCTTTGTTCACACACTCCCAGGGGGAAGAAAGGTGTTTGTAAAGAAATGTAAGCTTTAAATCACCATTATTTGATGTCATAAATTTCAAAATAATAAAATGTTCTGACTTTATGATTATTGGACCTCTTGGCCCCTTATATGTTATCTTGGGCCCCTTCCTCACAATAGAAGCAGGTTTCCTGTTGTGCTATGAGCAGGTGAAGTGCAAGGGAAGATTCAACCTTTCTCTCTATGAGAATGACAGTGGGCGTCCCCAGGAACGGTAACAAGTATCTTTCCTATCTCTTTCCTCTTCCTCAACCCGGGCCATCCCACTGCTGCCACTGCACCCGCACAAAATCTGGAGCTCTGGGTTGAGGATTAGCTTTTCCTCTCAAGGCCCTGGAGGAGCAGCAGAGAGAAATAAGAAGATCTCATTGTTATTAGGATTCAAACTGCCAACCCAGAGGACCTGCTAGAATATTTCAGAGTAGACATTTCATTTGGTTCAATGTACAGAGAGCCTGGAGCTACCCATACACTTCAGCTAGCCATGCTCTGAACCTATATGATGCCCAAGAACTGTAGCACCAGAGTTTGGACTTCTTTAAAACCAATGGCAGAAATCCCAGTATCCCACATCCTCCTAGGGGAAACCTAGCCAACTGAAGGATCAGGAGGCTCAGACCTCACGGGAAGCTGACACCTGAGAAGTTTTTCTCTATCCCGGGACAGTGGTTCTGTAACAGGTCTGGGAACATTAGAGTCAAGGTTATTTTACATGATGGTCTTGTAACCTGCCGTATTATCAATCCTTTCTGTTTTGTGTCATCTGCAAATCTGAGAAGCACACCTCTGAAACACCACTAGTGATCTTGCCCCAATAAAATATAGACCTGCCAGGAGCTATCTCTCATCAACTAACACTTCATCACTGTGTCTGAAAACTTCTCTTTTATTTTTCTGGGAAACTTTGATAAGGAACCCACTGAGTCCCAGGAACAAAGTAACCATGGAGGGAAATGATACCTAGGATTCATTATGAGAAAGAATACTTCCTGTGGTGTTTTCTAACTTTTTCCTGACATCCATATATTTTCACAGATCTGATACTATTAAGAAAAGAAAATAGATGCAGAAATACAAAATCTTGATTCTGTTAGGCCAGAGACCTTTAAAATCACCTTCAGGAGCAGAAGACTTACAAGAATAAAGTGAAGAAGACACAGAGTTGATGCATAAGCCCCAACATCCAACCTCGACCCCTCTTTCATAGGTGAGAAACTCTGTGGAGTTGCGTGCACTGTAGGGATCCCCACTGTACACAATCTGAAAGACAGGGTAAGGGCTGTTGAGGTACAAGTGCAATCTGTCAGGGACTCTTCATGCAGTCTGCTTCTCCACCCTTGGGAAGAGCAACAAACACGTAGCTGCCCAAGGGACCCTTCCTAGGGCCCAGAGCTCATTCTTTAACAGCCAAATCACCACTTTCTTCTAATCACACCCACTCCAGGACCTTCAGGAAGTCTCATGCTTATGCTTCAAGTCTAAAAATATTCCCCTGGATCTTTATATGGATTCCTCTAGCATCTGGCTTCACCTGTGGTAGGCAATCCTTCCACCCGTCCTCTGGTGTAGCCGAACAAAGGCCATTTGTCTTCCTGTTTGGAATGTGTCCTTCCTCTTCTACATTTCTGCAGTTCATATTCATTCTTCAAGGCCAGATCATGTTGAGCCCCTTTATGTGGCCTGCCTTTGTCTCCATAACTTATTTTGGTTTGCCTCTATTTGTTGTATTTAATTAAGTACTCATAGAGGTCTCATGATATCTTCTAGTTGGACACAGTATAGCACCCTACTTCAAAACTTGTCTAAGCTAGCTCTCAAAGGTACTCTTTCCCATACTCTTACAGTATTGAGCTGTAGAGAGTATACTGAACACTGCATTCTAGAGGCGAGCCTAGAAGAAAGCATTGATTGAAGGGTCGATGCGTGAGTCATTAAGTATGTGCACAGACTTGTTCTTTACCTGGCCCATGAAATCTGTGAAGAAGAGCATGTTGGACAGGAAGGCAGTCCATCCAATAAGGTGGCTGATACAAAGGCAGCGGTAGTGGAGAGGCATGCTCACCAGTGCGCTCCGGAGTGACTTTATGGTCATTACCCTCTGTGCCTGGAATGAAATATGAAACAGAGGTGTGACCTTCAGCCATCTGCAGAAGTCAGATCACATAGCCAAGTTACACATCTGTCATTTGGCCATCACACAGGCTCTCTTCTCCCAAGTTTCCATGGAACAGACTTCAGGAGATGTTCTGTTCAATGTGACTGACAGTTACATAGCACTTTCAGGCCCAGACTAGCCTTTCTGTGAAGGCTATCTATAGCTTCTATAGCTAGAAGTTGTGCTAGCTATAGGCCAAGATGTAAGAAACATTTAGCATTCTCTCTTGTGTGAAGAAAATGTGTTTCTCTTACAAAAAGAAAGGTAGTAGCAAATGCCCCCTTACCTCATGAAATCAGAAAGGAGTTCAGGTGAATAATTTATTAAACCCATTTTGGATCTAATGATACTGCAGCACACGGTCAAATCTCACAGCTCTCAGCCAACAGGAGGTTACAGTTCTTAAATTTCTCAACTCTGAAAGCACAGTCAGCCAAAAAGGCCTTCATGATCTCTGTCCCCTGGCTGTTCCCGCTGATTATGGTCTTTTACAAGGCAAAGATACTTTGTAGATACAATTAAAGTTACTGACTGGCCTCGAGTTCATCAAAAGATTAATTGTATGACTCTTGTTAAATCACATGAGCCCTTGCAAGTCCAGCACTATGGAGGAACTGAATTCTGCCAGTAACTGGAATGTGCTTAAGAACAGGCTTCCTTCCAGTTGAGTCTCCAGATGAGAATCTAACACTGCTTACATCTTAATTTCTACTTTACCAGGCCCTAAGCAGAGAACCCACTGTATTCCACCCAGACTTCTGACCTACAAAACAGTCAGGTAATTAAAGGATGCTTTAGGTTCTAAGTTTATAGTAATGTTTTATGCACTAATAGAAAACTGCTCTTATCCAGGTACCTCCTTCCTCTCAGTTCATTTCTCTAGATCCTGTTAATAGTGATATGTGTTAAATCGAGTTAAAATATCAACAAGGTAGAACAATGTAAGCACATATGCACATATAAATGACTGTACTTGCCATACATTCTTGGTTTTTTGTTTGTTTGTTTGTTTTTGGTACCGGGGATCGTACTCCGGTCCTTGCGCTTGAGAGGCAGGCCACCGAACCGCTGAGCTAAATCCCCGGCCCCATACATTCTTTAATTTAGAGTTATATTGTGTTAAAACTAGAGACTACAATTATTTTTTGTTTCAGAAACCTTGAATGGATGGTAAACTAAACTATTGTCACAACTATTTTGAAACAATGAACACAACAATCTCTAACATCTTGTCATATAAGAAAAGAAAGAGACATTGGAATACTAATCAGTCATCTCTCCTGATGACACTGAGGGTAGGAACATCAATCATGGTGTGGTGATAGACCTTTCTTCTCAGATTTTTATTTATTCTGAATCTTGACATGATGAAATTGACTCCAGCTAGTTTATTTATGTCTCCTGAGATTTTCTATTTTCATTATAACTGCAAATCATTTTACAACTCTTAACATAATATTGTAATGATTTTTACTTATTTATTGCAAGAAACTCAGAATTTTCCATTGTATGTTTCTTGTATAAATTGGTATTTTTAATTATCAATCCTTCATGCCTTATAGAAGGCCTAGAGGGAACTAGTGTAAGCCCCTTAACTGGTCCACTTTTCCTCTAGACGAGGACATGGAGTAATGGCCTAACTGCACCATGTTGTAAGCAGGGAACCAGACCCTCAGCAGACATTAAACTGACCAGCGCTTTGATCTTGGACTTCCCAACCTCCTGAACTGTGAGAAATAAATGTCTATTGTTCATTTAAATAAATTCATTAACCTCATAGCACTTAACCCATTGCCTATGATTATATTGATTTTCTTATACTTAGTACTAAAAAAAAATAGACATTCCCTGGAATTAGGAAAAGTAACTGTTTCTGTATGTAGAAAGTTATCTGTCAAAATGAGTGGTGATTAAAACAGAAATGTAGCACAGAATTACTGTTTTTTCCTCAACCACAATAAGAAGTAGCAAAAGATATTGCCCAAGCGGGGTTTCCATGCTTCAAATTAAATAACTTATCCTCACTTTCCTTCTCTTTCTAAAAATGCACAATTGAGAAAGCGAATCTGTGGCAAGTATTTAGCCTTGCTTCAAATAGTAATTCATGCATCTGCCTTATACATAATTCTCAGCATGCTTTCTTTGTTAACCTAATTTATCCTTTTTTCCAAAAATAATCAGAAACTTTCAAGTTATGCTAGTATTTCATAAAATCTGGGAATATAAATATTCAAAGGTCTTTTGAATATTTTAACTCAAAATGAAAATTCAGCTGGCATCTTTTCCCTGACTCATCAATTCCCCTGAAAAAGCCTTTTCAAGGTATCTAAATTCCTGAGAGTTTGTTGTTGTTGTTGTTGTTTTACTGTATATGCGGTGCACAAACATCAGGTGAAGACTGGAGAGATGTTGGATTTGTAAGGGAGCAGAGCACAGAGTTTTCATGGGGAAAGGGAATTTTCAAAAGTACACTCAAAAGGAGACTATCCATATGTTGAAAAGAGCAAGTTTTTTGGCACAGAGGAGAGGAGATGGGCTCTATGGGAAGCAGTTTGAGCTCTGAAATAATTCAGGCCTCTTTCCATTAAAAATAAAACGCCTGGTTCTCAATCTGTATAGCCACCTTCATTCTGGAAAGCAATGACTTTGCGAAATATTGAAGGTCTTGGCCTTGGAGCTAGATGGACAAAGTGAAGATTTCACTTTTCCACAGGAAACTGTCCAATAAGAGCATTCAATAATCCACTAATGGAAAATTTGTTGCCAGCTCCCTCTGTGCCAGGCAATGAGGTAAATGCCAGAAATGGAAAGAGATCAGAGATCGCCTCTTCCAGGGATTCCCTTACCATTGGGTGAGGAAGATACAAATTAACAAACAGGCACAGGAAGTTAAAAGCCTCCAACAGAGGAATGAAAAGAATACCATAATAGAAGAGTCAAAAGGAGGAGCCTTGAATTGAGGTGGTAAGAGAAGGAAAGAGTTTTCAGAAGTGAATAAGCATCCATCCCCAAGAGGGCAAGATAGGTGAGGCCTGTGTGTAATAAAACTTCATTCATCAGAAAATATTTGGTAATCCTTTTTATTATTTTAAATTATTAATAACACTTTCTGCCTCAGCACATCAGATTTGCCTGGATTTTAATTCTGAATTTGTGATGCTTTATGATGGGGAGTAGACTTATACAATAACTAATATCTCTAAATCACCAGAGTAGGCGTTTTCACCTTTGGTATTGTATTTAATGTTTATAAACTCTCTATAAATGACAGCAATTATCTTTTACTTGCATATTTAAAAAAAAAAGAACTTTGTCAATTAGAAATGGGAAGAAAGGAGCTAAAGGTGTAGGGAAGGTGGGACGGGTCAGGGAAGGGTAAAAAGGGAAAAGAAAAAAATGTGAGATAATGAAAAGATGGAAATAAAGTGGTTGTAGATGGGAAAGGGAGGAGGGGGTAAAGGGAGGGCAGGGACAAGGGGACAAAATGAGAACCAAGACCTGTCATGCAGAGGTACAAGATCCCAACAATGAATGTAACTGTACTGTATACCTAAAATGTGCCAATAAACTCAATTAAAGCTGAAAAAAAAAGAACTTTGTGAGTTAAAACAAAAAGGTCACATAACTCTCAGAATGAGAAGTTAGCAAGTTATCAGAGACTAACAACTGGCCCCCAGTATCTTCTGTCCCTTTCTTACAAGTCACAGGAGTTTCATGTGGGTTCCACCCGCTTGTTGTAGTCACCACTGAGTGGAAATGTGTGTGGCCATCTGAATAAGTTCAGGCCAATTTTCTAAATAGATAAGAAGTCATGTTTGAGTTGTGTCCATAAAGGAAAGGAACACAACCTTTCCTTTTCTCCTCTCTGGTCATAGAAATTCAGACATAGTAGTAATAATTGATGAAATCATCTTGAAACTCAAAATGAAAGCTCCGTGTTCAAACTAACAGCAACAAAAGAGCAGGGTTCCAGGTCCCTCATAGAATATTAGATCAGCTCAGAACCATCCGTTTTGACTTTTACAGGAGAGAAGAAATGACTTGTATCTCTTATAGAAGACTTCAAGTTAGTTAGTTTGTTTGTTTGTTTGTTTGGCACCGGGGATTGAACTTGGGTCCTTGCACTTGCAAGGCAGGCCACCGAACCACTGAGCTAAATCCCCAGCCTAGAACACTTCAAGTTAAAATCACCTATACCTTAACTCATTTGGAGGCCATGACTGAAACTTCAACTTGATTCTTCCAAAATCCATGCCCCATTCACTATCCAACACTTTTGATCATTCATAGCAACTTTTATCTCTGCTATACTCACTACTTGCCCCCAATTTTTTACTGAGTTTTTCCTCAATCCCCTTCAAAATTTTTCTTCCAAATTACAAATCTCACCTGATACCTTCAAGTTTTTACACAAACTCCTAATTGCCAAATCCAAAGATTTACCCAGTCTTCATATTATCGAGCCTTCTATGGACCATGCTTCACCTGGCCTCTGCAACTTTGTCCTCCTTCCTTCCTTCCTTCCTTCCTTCCTTCCTTCCTTCCTTCCTTCCTTCCTTTCTTTCTTTCTTTCTTTCTTTCTTTCTTTCTTTCTTTCTTTCTTTCTTTCTTTCTTTCTTTCTTTCTTTCTCTTTCTTTCTTTCTTTCTTTCTTTCTTTCTTTCTTTCTTTCTTTCTTTCTTTCTTTCTTTCTTTCTTTCTCTCTCTTTCTTTCCCTTCCTTCCTTCCTTCCTTCCTTCCTTCCTTCCTTCCTTCCTTCCTTCCTTCCTTCCTTCCTTCCTTCCTTTTTCTTTTCTTTCTATCTCTCCCTATCCCCTCTCCTTCTACTGTATCACAAAAGAGCTGATATTTAAACTCAGATTGAAGGAAGTGATTCTACATCAATGTTACCCAAAAGAATATTTTTAGTTATAGAAGGTTCTGAACTTGGATGCTATGAACAGTAGTCACTCGCCCCAAGGGATTTTAAACTTTTGAAATGTAGCTAATGCAACCAAGGAACTCTTCAGGCCGGAGGATATTTACAGGGCTTTCACCTGGCCTAACCTTTCACAGATGGCCTCATCTTCCCTGATTTCAAGTTCTTAAAAAACTAGAAGACATGAAGACCAGAGGAAAATGCACACATTTTTCTTTAAGGTGCAAATTTTAATTACAAGTGATACTAACTATCAAGATTTTGAAGATTCAATTAACACAAAACTCTTCACATCAAACAAGCAGCAAACAAAACAATGAATTAAAAAAAAAAGAAAGAAGATCCAAGTAAAGAAAAAAATAATTTGTATCTTTACCTGTTCAGCTGGACTTTTGTTTTTTCCTCCCTGCATTGCCAGCTCTGGATTTACATAACCATTTTTATCTTTCTCGATAGAACCATACTCATACATTCCATGTGATGACAATGAGGGGTCTTGAGGGGCCTGCTGTGGGGGAATGTCTTTTGCAACATCTCTAAGTGGGACTTCAGGTATACTGCACAGATGAATGATAAAACACAAAATGAGAATCAAGGCAGAGAGTAAGAACATGACCTGAAATTCTGTGCCCAGGACTCTTCCCAGTTCCAGATGGCCCCAGTCTATGGCACCCAAGAGGTAACCCAGGGCACCGCCAACACCTGGAAAAAAAAAAAAACAGCTGAATTAGCATATTTAGCAAGTCATCTTCCTTTTCAATCATGCATAGACCCTCTGTTTTAGTGGAAAAATTATTTTAGGATAGTATAGGCAGCATGAACGTGACTGAAGAGATAGCATAGCAAGAAGCTAACATCCTGCAGCTATGACCTTGGGCTTCCTCACCTATAATGTGTGTAACAGTAAAAAGCAAACAAACAAACAAACAAAAAAGGTTAAACTACTAATAGGGTCATGACTTCAAAAGGAAAAGTATTCAGAATAGGGTCAGATACAAAACACTTGTTCAATAAATTGCTACCATCATTCTCCAGGCTGTTTTTTAAACTTAACTTTCTGACCTAAAGAGTCCCAAAGGAAACCAATTCCAGGAAACAATAAAACTAAAATATCTTATGCTTACTTATTCATTATTAGCTTCTTAAGATGATACAAGCTAGTTTGCAAAGATCAAACAGCCTTGCAAACTATTTTCCTTCCTTGATAGAAATTCTAGGTACTTCTCCATACTTGATAGCTATAGAAATAATGAGAATAAAAGCTTAAGAATAAGTTGCTTAAAATCCCATTGTAGGTGGTGATTTAGCTTGGTGGTACCACCACCTGTCTCACAAACACAAGGTCCCAAGTTCAATTCCTGGTATCAGAAAAAAAAAATCCATCATCAACCCATAAGACTCCAACCTAAGTTTTTTGGTTCTTGCTTTATTTTTTCATGCTTAATCAAAGTGCTATTGGAGGGACACTGAGGCAGGGCTCCTGAAAATCAATACCATCCTAGGATCTAATACTGGAAATCCATTATTAGTGATTCATTCTTGAGTCCTTATTTTAAAGTACAAGTCTCCTGAGTAGAGGAAGACATTATACTACTCAGCACCAAAGCACGCTACTCAGATGCTTCTGCCAGTGAAGTGTCAGTGACTTCTGAGAACACCAGACTGAAGGGGACATACCAAGAGGTGGGAGCATGTCCAGGGAATTAAAGCACTACCCACAATCTAGTGTAGGTCTGATCCTACTGTTAAAAATATTTCAATATCAACTTCCCAGTTTGCTTTACCAAATACAAGTTATCTACCTGAACAGATTAGTGTTTATTCTTGATTGGGATTGATGTGTCCACTTTATTTCCCAGATAAAGACAGAACTCAAGGAGTCCCTATCTCTAATTCTAAACACAAAAACTTCTATAAGCTTGACCCCCCCAAACACAAAACTAGTTCTTTGTACCATGAGCCCTAATTTATCCAGAATAGTGGGAGAATGGATGATTTGGGTCACTTCACATTCTTGTTAGTTGGAACTTCATAGGGAAACTATTTGTAGATATCCAACAGTCTAATTACTGGATTCCAAAAATTAAGCATCAGTTTTATGACCTGAATATTGATGTATTTTAGGCCAGTTGGAAGACTGTGGTCAGTGGGGTGCAATGAAGAAATATGTTCTCTGGAAGCAAAGAATACATGGTCTAGTCATGAGTGATGTGCAAATGCATAAACCTGTAAATGACAAGTATGGTGAAGGACCTGGACAGAACCTGAAATGAAGGGAAATTCCTGAGGCAGCCACACTGCGTCATTGATTCAAAGGAGTTTTGGGACTTGTGGTAGCTCTGGATATCGTAACACAAGACATTCTTTATTAACTTGTGGAAATGTAAAAACTATCAGAAGTCATGTATCAAGCCTAGCAATTAACCAAAAAGAACATGTTGAAATGCTCTCCTTCCTCTGCCTGTTGTGCTAACCAAAAAGGTACCTGGACCAATGTCCTTGGGAGAGGGTGTAAAAGGGCCCCGGGTTGATAAACTCTGACTGAAGTTAACCCTGTGTCTTCCCCATTGGCTTCTTCATTAAATAGTTGACTAAAATCTTGACCAAGCTACTGTCTTCCCTTAAGTGTACTGGGGAGAATGCTTTTTTTGTGAGTTCCCAAACTACTGTGAAATGTAGCTACAGTCCCAATAGTACAACAGGATATGCTTAGAAAGGATAGTGGACCACTGAGGAAATTCATCTAATACAATATTTAAATGTTGGAAGAAAACATTCACGTTTTATCTATTTACACAGTTGGATATGCCAAGAGCCAATACAGGGCTATGGAAATTCATTGTTTGCTTCCTCTACTTAACCTAAAGATTTTTATCTTCCATAATAATCTTCTAAACAAAGCCTAGTCATGCTAGCTGCAATAAAGGGTAACCATTTTATTATTTTTCTACTTCCCATATCTATCTACAGACTACATTTATTCCTCCTGCTGACATCAGCCTCTTACGGGGCCCAACAGGCCTTTACAAAGAAGAGCCCACAAGAGGCTCAGCTGGCACTTCCTCAGAGCCAGGCTGTCTTGATAAACTCAGGCCAGAGATCACCTCAGGAGGATGAATGGCTTCAGCAGACAGATGTCAGATTTCATAACTTATGCTACAACTTAAACAATAGCTCAGCTTAGAAATCCAAGTGGATAGAAATATGTAAATAATTTTTTCTTTAGTTCAAAACTATTATAGTCAAATGGGAAATGAGGAGGCTTGCAGGACCAAGGAATCTAATGAACTGAGGATACAAAACAGTATCCAAGTCAGTGTTTGCACTTAACTATGTTCTGGTCAGTGCCTCACTTTACCAGCTATGTGGTGTTACCCAGACCAATAGTGGAGGTGACACAGCTCAAGTCACTGCTGGTTACTTTATGCCCAAAGGAAATCAGAATAAAGATCCCCTGTGTTGCCATGGATCTTCACAAGAAGACGATTCTGATTATTTCCTGCACTTCAGAAAATAGCAGATTAAGTATGATTCATACCTATGCCCATCATGTAAATACTATATCTTCAAAAATTTACATAAGTACCAGTGTGTTTGTGTGCATCTAGGTGTGTGTGTGTGTGTGTGTGTGT